CATACATTCTTGAATTCAGAAACACTGAAGCCATTTCAGAATATATGCAGAGACTAAACCTTCATGGAGCACTGATTCACTTTCCTGTTTCCATCTCTTCCCTCTCCTCCACTTCACAACCCCATTCATCAGCAACGCACCGTTCCCTTCGCACTTGAACATCTTCCAATGCCACCATCACTTGACTTTTCTAACCCTCTAGTCCGTAGGTGCCTTTACCTACAGATTCCTGATATTTTCTTCATCGCCAATCATGGCCTATTTACAGTGGAATGATCCGCGGCCTCAGGGGTAATCGGGTGAGCTTCAGATGTTGCTTTCCAGGTTTACCCTGTTGGTTGCTTGCTTACAAAACCAAAATACATCTCGGCTGTTTTCCAACCTATCTCAGGCTATAATTTTATTGTATTCTTCGGATCCTTTCTCAGATGGAACCTTTAATGAAATGCCCTTCTTCTAACGCAATGATATTCCGTACTGTCACTATTTGTCCATAACCTCGCTGCATTACACTGCAGCCCGTATCCACTTGGAATAAGTGGGTTTACAATATGTTCTTTATATCTCTCTCCTTCTCGGCATTTTCTATCCAGACTTTGCCTTTCTTGTTTCATACCTTACCACCACCACTATCTGTTACTTGGTGATTTTAATGCCCACCATTTCCTCTGGGTGGGGGGTCTCATTGTGACTCAACGTGGCATTCAGTTGGAGGCTTTTCTTGCATCTCACCCCCTCCATGTTTTAAATACGGGTACTTTGAACACTCCCACCCCATTATGATCCTCGTACCATACTCTCCTCTTGCCATCGATCTATCAGTCTGCTCTTCCTCCACTGCATCTAGACTTCACCTGGTCTGTTCTACCAGACTTTACATGACAGCGATCATTTTTCGAGTCATTTTACTTCTCCTTCCTATTCACGCACCTTTTCCGAAGCCCTCTCCTGCAACTTGATCGGGCAAATTGGGATCTTTTACTCACACCTACAACTGCTTTTAGTGAGGTTCCTTCTCAATCCTCCATTGATGAGCTCCTACACATCTTCTCGACATCAGTTTATACCGCGCATCTCATTCTATACCCCAGAACCTCCAGGCAGGCATTCTCAGAAGTGCGTGCCTTGGTGGTCTCCTGCTTGTGCATGCTGTGCAGTACGTTTGAAACGTGCTGCATGGGCGGTACCGGTACAATAAAACGCTGAAGAACTTATTTGATTTTAAGCAAGAAGCGTGCGAATACGCTCGCCGTGTCATCCGTGAAGCCTAAACGCACTTTGTTGCGAGACAAATGTTCCACCATCACCTCTGCCCTCTTCTATGAGTGCAGTCTGGAAAAAAGTGAGGAAATTGAGTGGTAAATACTCTCACTGACCCGGCTCCTGTTCTATACGGTCATCTGGTGTTGAAAAAGCAAACCCTCTCGACGATGCCCATTGAACTTGGCACACACAGGCCGTTATTTTCCCGGAGGGCTCCATCTATGCCCCTCGTTTCTTTCCTTCAAAGTCCCTGCCAGAGAAGTAGTACCACTTGGACTTTTCCTTCTCTCAGAGAAGAACAGTATAATGTGCCTTTAACACTCAAGAATGGAGGCAACGCTCTCAGCTTGCCGATATCGGCAGCTGGGGCCTGAAGACAATCCATAATCGATGTTTACAACATTATACATCGGTCAGCCCTTGTAGTCCTTCTTACACCTCTTCAAATCTTATTTGGCACAAGGAGTTTCTTCCCCAGCTGTGGAAATCTGCCCTTGTTCTCCCATTCCCGCAAACCGGGTACTACAGGACATGATGCCTCCCACTATCGCTCGCCCCATCGCTTCTTACAATGTGCAGTTTGCAAAGTGATGGACGCCTCGTAAATCGACGTTTAATGTGGTATTTAGAGACTCACAACAGTCTCTGTCCGCTAGTCAATATGGCTTTCGTACGGGTCTTCTACCATAACCCCTTACTAGGCTTGATACGTTATGTTCGTAATGCCTTTGCGAATACCACTCATTATTGCCATATTTTTTTGACCTTAGAAGGCATATGACACAACTTGGAGATATAATATTTTGCCCCCCCCCCCAGGCCCATTCCTTTTTAAGGCCTCCGAGGCAATCTACATCCATTCCTTAAGAACTTTTAACTGAACAGACATTTCCGTGTTCGAGTCATAAATGTCCTTTTCCCTCCTCCCCGGACTTCGTCCAAGCTGAAGGTGCCCTCAGGGATGTGTTAATCTAAGCACAACACTTTTTCTATCCTTGCTATAAATGAATTGGCCTCTGATCTTTCCACCCAATATTTGGTCATCACTCCTATGTTGATGACTTCCTATTGCTTGGTGCAGGCGCTGACTGATCACCTTATTGCAGTTTCACTTCCAGCATGCGGGTCCGACCCGTGCTTCCACTTGGGGCCACCACACATGGGTTTAAATTTTCAAGTACCAAAACTCACCAAAATTACTTTCACTAGACGCTCTGTTTATCCCCGATCATCCTTTGTACTCAATGGCTCCCGTATCCCCGAACGTGATACAGTCAGTTTTCTATAGGCCTTCTCTTTGACCGTCAGTTAACCTGGAAACCTCACATTACCCTCTCTGAAGGCAACTTTGTCCACAGCCGCCGGCTAAACCTTCTTAAAACCCTTGCTCACCTTTCCTGGGGAGCTGATCGTCGAACTCTGCTTCGCCTACATTAGCCCTCGTTTTAATCGAAACTCGATTATGTGACCAGATTTTTCCCTGCGGCCTCTCCTCTACCCTCCTCTAGCCTTAACTCTACCACACCAAGGCTTACGTTTTGTGCCTTGGTGCTTTTTTTTCGCTCTTCCCCTGTTGAGACCTCTATACAGAAGCAAAATGTTTCCACCTTGTCCTGATCGCCGTGATGCCCATTGCCTTCGTAACTATGGTACGCATCGTCACGATCTCACAATCCTTTCCATTTTAGAATGTCATCCGGATATTAGTAACTTTCTTTATTCGTTCGCCGCCCCTGTTTGCTCCGTCCTCCTTCTTCTCTTTCGCCTACATTCACTCTTGTCTCCCCTCAGTTACCACCTTTATTAAGTTCATGTAGCATCTCAACTTTTTTTTTTACCTACCCGCCCCTGGGAAGTTCCAGCTGTTCGGGTCTGTTCTTTTCTCACTCCCTTCTTGGCTCGAAAGCTCAACTGTGTGCCTACGGTGGCATTTCCCCGCTCTCCTTTTTCTTGATCACTTCCACTCCCATTCTCATGCCACCGCTGTGTACACAGATGGCTCTAAGTCTTCAGCCGGCGGCGGATATCGCAGCAGTGTTCCGGACAGCCGTACTCTATAACGAGGGCATTTACTATCTTCAGCTAGTATTTTTACTGCTGAAACTGTATGCCATTCTTGCAGCACTTATTCGTATCGCTTCTATGCCTGTGTCATCATTTGTAGTAGTCTCAACTCCCTTAGTGCTCTACAGGCTATACTGAAAAATTTGATACATCTCACCCTATTCTCTCCGTATCCAACTTTGGCTACGCCGTAATCTCACAAAACATAAAGATTTGTTTTTATGTTGGGTCCCTGGTCATGTTCGACGTACAGGCAATGAACAGGCAGACCACTGCTGCGCGGTCAGCAGTATAATACCTACCAATTTCCTATCGAGGTGGTTCCATTTCTGGTGACTATTTTGCTGCAATAGCACCCACCTTCGCACACCTTGGCAACAACGTTGGTCAACTCTGCTCGTAACAAACTCATTCTATTAAACCGAGCATAGGATACTGGCGTCCTTTCCTTGTCATCAATGCCGAGGATGGGAGACCACTCTCTCCCGCCTTCGCTATGGCCACACACGTCTTACACATGGGTATCCATGGAGAGGCACCCTGTTCCCTCTCTGTGAGCCGTGTCAAGTCCAGTATCGATAGCCACATTCTGTTAACTGCCCTCTCCATCAACTGAGCACCAGAATTTACCTCTAACTCCCAACGTCGTCTCGTTCTACTACTCTCCCTTTACCTTCCCGTCCCTTCTTGCTGATGGACCCTCCTTTAATCCTGACTCTCTCATTGACTTCTTGACAACGACTGATTACTCCACAAACTCTGATGAATACTTTTCGCACTCCCCCTCAGCCTTTTTTTTTTCTTTTCTGTTCAGTCTCTTGCTGCCCTTTACCCTTTCACCATCCACTGCCCCGCTGTTATCCGTAACCTGTTGCTCATCCATCTCCCTTTTGCCACCTGATGCCCTCGCTTCCTTCCTGCCCTGCAGCGCTGTATAGTCCTTGTGGCTTAGCGCTTCTTTTTGATTATAATAATAATAATAGAGTTGAGCATACTATATTACACTACTTCACTGCCCTAACTTACCTTGCCTTCAGCTTCCTTCATACCCTCTCTGGTCTCTGATCTGGCATATTACATCTTTAGTATGTGCTACCCTGCAGTGCTGTATGATCCTGTGGGTTTAGCACTTAGTTTTATTACAATCAATAAATTACACTACTGTGTATGTCTACAAAATCTAATAAGGTTCAAAAATATAACTAAAGCAGATTTTAAAATTTAATTGAAAGTTCTATTACTCTAGTGTTCCCAAACTTCATTCTGTATACAATGTGTTGCAGAAGTAGTCTTAGAGATTAACAAGAAACCTAATGTAGAAAACTAAAATCCTTTCCTAGCACACCCTTTGGAATCAAACTTTATGACCCACATAATGACCTATTTGCTAGTTGAAATGCTATTTAATGCACTTTTTTTTTTTAAAGAAATATGCAATACATGTTCAACAATATGCAATAAAACCCCTCAAGGAAGACTCCTTGATGCTGGTAAAGAGTACTTGATCTAACAATCTGAATGCTCTCTCCATGGATATAACTTGATTGCTTCTCATTCAATGGACACTATGACCCCTACAGGTTTAGTGCTTCTCCCTAAACATATCCTCCAAGAGATAATACTATAATTTATACAGTTAGAGTCAGAAGTCTGTAATTTTTCATCCACATGATAAACAGTTTAATGTAACTTAAGTGTGTATGTCAAATCCAATTAGTTGACCTATCTTCTTATGGAACTGCTTCAGCTCATTTTTAGTCTCCTCATCCAATTCCTCGTCATCAGCAGCTGGAAATGCTGCTATAAATTCCTGGAAAAGTGTGCAGAGATTAATAAGGTACAGCAAACTGTTGGTTAATACATTAGTTTACATGCCATTTTCAGGAAAGTGTCAATGAATCTAGAAGTGAACTGAAGAATGTATAGAACAAAATAGTTACATTCCATAGACCCCCCCATCCCTTAGGTCTTGAAATTTAAAAAAAAAAAAATAAGATAATGTAACTGTTGGTCAATGTAGTGATGCATTAATTAAAGGCTCCCCATTTTCATTTACCCCTGGCACCCCAAATTTACCTACTACTCCCACAACATTTTTGCCCTTTAGCATTGAAATCCCCAACCACCATTACTCTCACACTTAGTTCAAAACTCCCCACGCATTCACTCAACAGTTCCCAAAATCTCTCTCTCTCTCCTCTACACTTCTCTCTTCTCCAGGTGCATATACGCTTACTATAACCCACTTTTCACATCCAACCTTTATTTTACTCCACATAATCCTTGAATTAATACATTTATAGTCTCTCTTTTCCTGCCATAACTTATCCTTCAACATTATTGCTACTCCTTCTTTAGCTCTAACTCTATTTGAAACCCCTGACCTAATCCCATTTATTCCTCTCCACTGAAACTCTCCCATCCCTTTCAGCTTTGTTTCACTTAAAGCCAGGACATCCAGCTTCTTTTCATTCATAACATCCACACACATTCAGACTTCCCACTTTGACAATTTTCTTCTTCTTATTCTTTTTAGTAATTATTACAGGAAAAAGGGTTACTAGCCCATTGTTCCCGGCATTTTAGTTGATTATGATTATTATTGTAATGATTATTATGATTGATATAATAATAATCACAATTATTCCCTTCCTTGGTTAGAATGTAAATACTAACTTCTAACCCTACCTATCTCTATTTGGCTACATGAGTAGGAAAATCTTACTCCTAAACAGTGAAATGGGATCATCATCCATGTTCTGATGTCATGTTTGTAACACTAGACTACATAGTAAAGTGGATCAAGTGACCCTCTCTCCAATGAAGCCTCAATTAATACTGATTTTTAAAAAAGGGGAAAACTCCAAAGAAAGATTTAAGCAAAGTCCTATGGTTAACACTAAATTTAGAGGGTGTGCCAAAAGAAAATAGGCACAAAAAAAACTAGTTGATAATTAAAGCTATATGCAAAATGGCGCCTTCAACAAGAATGTCGCATAATAGGTTCTCATGAATAACAAAACTTATGAATTTAGGGGGTGAACTATTAAAAAGTAGTTGAAAATTGGGCTACAAATAAAATTTACCTTCACATCCTCAGGTTTTTGGTTAATGGCAGGTGATATTTGTAATGGTGATCCAGTGAAAGACATTGCAATTTCACCAACTCTGGGTCTTCTCCTGACTGTCCCAGGAGCAAGTGGGTTACGCATGTCAAATTTTGGTGTTACAAACATCGCTGAGAAGCTTTGAGGAAGGCCCTGGTTAGCTGGAGTTGCTGCTACATCCTTGAATTTGTAAACAAATCTTTAATAATATTGTGAAAGCTATGACAAAAGCAGAATTTACTGAAAGCATGAATTAAAAAAAAAAAAAAAATGCAGAAAATATACTGTACCTGGATAATTAAGTAAAATATACAGTGGAACCTCAAATATCGAACTGCTCCCAACTCAACCAATTATGTAAGTGTATTTTTGTAAGTGCTTTTATAAGTGTATTTTTGAGGGTCTGAAATGAACCAATCTAATTTACATTATTCCTGATGGGAATAAATTTGTTTGGTAACAGCACTCGAACAGCCGTCTAGAATGAAGAAAGTTCAATATTTGAAGTTCCACTGTAGCTACATGGACTTCCCAAAGACACAATATTCTATCACATTTCTCACCTTCTTTATCAAAGGGCTGGCACTCGGAGTTTCTTTGGCCCCATGGTGGCTTATTTAGCAGTTGCACTCAATAAACAAGTACAAAAATAATGGATTATTATGAAATGTTTCGGATGAACATCCAGGGTAATGCTCACTTGACAAGAAATAACGCCAGACTGACTCAGAATGCGTGGGATGCTTTGTGTGGGTGCAGGAAGGAGGACTCGTTCAGTATGGTGGACCTATGAAAACCAAGGTGATGAACGAAAACTGGGACAAAATTTTGACGAAAAAATTCGTCGAAAACCAGGGCAAATGAAAACCAAGGTTCCACTGTATATGCTAGTGATTAAAAGAAGAGTATATGGAGAAAAAGAGAGGTTAACAGAGTGGTGAAGCAATGTAAAAAGAGAGCAAATGAGAGAGTGGGCAAGATGTTATCAACAAATTTTGTTGAAAATAAGAAAAAGTTTTGGAGTGAGATTAACAAGTTAAGGAAGCCTAGAGGACAAATGGATTTGTCAGTTAAAAATAGGAGAGGAGAGTTATTAAATGGAGAGTTAGAGGTATTGGGAAGATGGAGGGAATATTTTGAGGAATTGTTAAATGTTGATGAAGATACGGAAGCTGTGATTTCGTGTATAGGACAAGGAGGAATAACTTCTTGTAGGAGTGAGGAAGAGCCAGTTGTGAGTGTGGGGGAAGTTCATGAGGCAGTAGGTAAAATGAAAGGGGGTAAGGCAGCTGGGATTGATGGGATAAAGATAGAAATGTTAAAAGCAGGTGGGGATATAGTTTTGGAGTGGTTGGTGCTATTATTTAATAAATGTATGGAAGAGGATAAGGTACCTAGGGATTGGCAGAGCATGCATAGTTCCTTTGTATAAAGGCAAAGGGGGACAAAAGAGATTTGCAAAAACTATAGGGGGATAAGTCTGTTGAGTATACCTGGTAAAGTGTAGGGTAGAGTTGTTATTGAAGAATTACGAGTAAGACGGAGAATAGGATAGCAGATGAACAAGGAGGCTTTAGGAAAGGTAGGGGGTGTGTGGACCAGGTGTTTACAGGGGAAACATAAAAGTGAACAGTAATTAGATAAGGCTAAAGAGGTTTTTGTGGCATTTATGGATTTGGAAAAATGTATGACAGGGTGGATAGGGGGCAATGTGGCAGATTTTTGCAGGTGTATGGTATAGGAGGTAGGTTACTGAAAGCAGTGAAGTTTTTTTACAAGGATAGTGAGGCTCAAGTTAGGGTATGTAGGAAAGAGGGAGATTATTTCCCAGTAAAAGTAGGCCTTAGACAAGGATGTGTGATGTCACACTGGTTGTTTAATATATTTAAAGATGGGGTTGTAAGAGAAGTAAATGCGAGGGTCTTGGGCAAAGGGTGGAGTTTAAAAGATAAAGAATCACACAAAGTGGGAGTTGTAACAGTTACTCTTTGCTGATGACACTGTGCTCTTGGGAGATTCTGAAGAGAAGTTGCAGAGGTTGGTGGATGAATTTGGTAGGGGATGTAAAAGAAGAAAATTAAAAGTGAATACAAGAAAGAGTAAGGTTATGAGGATAACAAAAAGATTAGGTGATGAAAGATTGGACATCAGATTGGAGGGAGAGAGTATGGAGGAGGTGAGTGTATTCAGATATTTAGGAGTGGACGTGTCAGCGGATGGATCTATGAAAGATGAGGAGGGCAGCGAAGATGGAGATACGGCGATTGACCGAGGAAAACAAGAGGATTCGTAGTAGTCCTCCTGTTTCGAGTCCTCAGGTCAAGAAGGGATCGTGGTCAGTGGCTGGACAGCAGGGGACGACGAAGTTGACGATCAAGAAGACGAATGGAAAGCCAGAAACGATGAAGAAGAAAGAGACTGCTGTGGAAACTCCTGTGGAAACCTCCAACGCATTCTCGGTGCTACCCGACGAATGTTAGTCGACTACTGGGATCGTCACGACGAACGACAACAAGGAAGGTAAGAATATTGTTGTTGTTGGGGATAGCCAGTTAGATACATGGATAGGCATTCTGCTTGAAGGACAGGAGTAAGGGGACAAGGGTAAGCTTTCCTGGGGGTGGGATGGAGGACATTGTTAGCGGCTTGACAACATCATGAACGGTAATGGATCAATCCTATTATTTGCCTCAGTGCTGGAGGCAATGATGTAGGCAAGCGTAGAAGTGAGGATTTAGTTAGAAAGTTCAGGACGCTATAGACATAATTAGGAAGATGGGGGGCCAAACCCTGTTATATTTGGCATTTTGCCAAGAAGAGGTGTTGGTAATGAATGGTTGTCCAGAGCAATTGGTATTAATTGTTGGCTGGATAAACACTGTAAGGATAATGCAGTACCATTCATTGACAACTGGGACAACTTCTATGGCCGAAATGACATGTATGCCAGGGATGGGGTTCACTTATCCAGGGCAGGTGTGGGTTTTCTTGCTAACTCAGTTGAGGGGGTTGTTAGGACTTTAAACTAGGATTAGTTAGAGGTATGGGTTTAGAAATGATAAATAATGAGTATGGATATATTGACTTATGCTCTGATATTAAGAATCTTAACCCTTTGAGGGTCGACAGGCCCTCTCCGAAACTCGTTCTCAGGGTCGGCCAAATTTAAAAAAAAAAAAATTATTTTCTCTTATGAAAAGATAGAGAATCTTTTCCCGATCATAAAGACACCAAAAGTTTGAAATTTGATAGAAAACTTACGGAATTATGCTCTCGCAAAGTTAGCGGTCTCGGCGATGTTTACGCATCGGCGATTTTGCCCACTTAGAGCCCCATTTTCGGCCAATTTCACTGTACTAGTCGACAAAAAACATGAATATTTCGCTAGAACTCCATTTTTTCTATCGAATGGGTGCAAGAAACCACCCATTTAAAAATTCAACTATCCAGTACAGTGGTCAGAAATTTAGCAATTTTGCCAATTTCACACAAATTTCAAAAGATGCCAATTTCCAAAATAGGGTCCAGAATAAACAAGAAAGACATTCCTGGCACTAAAATGACATTTCCTCTAGTCATTAGTCACGTCTCAAGGGCCCCTCTATATTCTTTTGTTTTCCACTTTGAATTTTTATTCTCAAAAAAAAATATAAGATTTACTGTTATGCAACTACTGCATTATGTAAAAAATGGTATAAATTTTTGGGCACTTGTAAAAGAATATTAACTCACCAGTTGACGTGTATTGCACGCTCGGCACGATTTGTTTACTTTTGAAGTTTGGAAAAAAATCGAACATTTCTGCTACTTTGAGCTCAATTTCAAGGAACCTTTCATTGTAAAACCAGTCAAAATCTCTCAATTTCTGTAATATGTCTTCCATTCTATAAAATGAGACCAAGAAAACTAGAATACAAAAAATAAATACCATACGAAAATACACGCAAAGTCGCTGATTTATTAAAAAAAAATGGTCAAAGTTTTTTTTTTCTCATTATGCACTGTGTGCTGCAGGATTTTTTTTAGACTGTGCACACTGACCACATAGACCCATTCTTTCATATGAAGGCCTACCAGCTTTCTCCCACTAGATTTGAGGCCGCTAGAATTTATGAGTACTAGTACGTCAAAAACCCCTACGCGTAAAACGTACTAGTACGACCAAAACCCTCAAAGGGTTAATAGTAACTGTCATGGAGTAACTCTGGGTAATGATAATTTCAGAAATTGTGTTAAAACAAAGATGAATAGAAAAAATGTGCAGAAGAAAAAACATATGATGGTATTTTATGCTAACAGTCGAAGTGCAAGAAATAAAATTAATGAACTACGTTTGGTAGCATGTTCTGGGAACTTTGATATCATTGCATTAACTGAAACATGGTATGATTTAAAGAGTCGGGATATGACTGCTGAGTGTAATATTCAGGGATTTAAGTTGTTCAATGTGGATAGATCTAATGGGAAGGGGGGAGGAGTTGCATTGTATGTTCGAGAAAATATTAATTGTTGCATAAAAAGAGGTATAAAACTAGATGGGGGCATAACAGAGTCTGTTTGGGTAGAGTTCGTGGAGGGTCAAGAAAAACTAATTCTAGGTGTAATAAAAACCGACCTCCAAGCTTGGATCACGATAGAGGGGGACTTCTTTGGGGCGAAATTGTTAGGGCTTCTGGACACAGTAACAGTCATAGTAGGGACTTCAACTTTAGTCAAATTGACTGGGAAATTCTTTGACAGGTAATCTAGAGTTCAGTGACTTTATGGGAAACAGTTCGGACTGTTTTCTGAAACAGAGCGTAACTGAGCCTACCAGGGTAATAATTTGCTAGAAACCCAGTCTTTCAAATAAGGAAACACTCGTGAATAATCTGGAGATCACTGAAGAGCTTGGAGCAAGTGATCACAAATCCATCACTTTTAGCATTAATTGGGGAATGCAAGAATAATGATAAAACAGTAAAAATCCCCCGATTTTCGTTCTGCTGATTATTATGGACTTAGGGAACATCTGTCTAATCTTGATTGGGGTTATCTAGCTAATGATTTTATTGACGATAATCATACTTATGAATATGAAGGGATCTGCTTTTATGATTGTTTTCTTAATAATGTACACAGTGCCCAGAGTATATACATTCCCCAGAGAGAAATTAGGTCTAATAATAACGATCCCAAATGGGTTAACAGGAGGCTAAAGCATCTATTAGGGGAGAAAAGGGGAATTTATAGGCACATCAGAAGAGAAGAGGTTAACCTTACTGACCAATATGTTCAGCTTAAAAGAGAAGTAAAAAAGGCAATTAGAAAGGCTAAACGTGACTATGAAATTAGAGTTGCTAATGAATCAAAGACTAATCCAAAGGGGTTCTATCAAGTGTATAGGACGAAGGTGAAGGAAAAAGTAGGACCTCTGAAAACTGGGAATGGACAGCTGACGGATAATGAACTGGAAATGTGTTCCTTATTTAATGACTATTTTTTGTCAGTTTTTACACAGGAAGATGTAAATGAGATTCCAGTAATTAACAATTATTTAGTTCCTGATGAATTTAAGTTAACTAATATTACTGTCACGAGGGACATGGTTATTAAACAGATAGACAAACTGAAACAAAATAAGTCCCCGGGACCCAATGAGTTGTTTTCAAGGGTACTTAAGGAATGAAAGATGGAGCTTAGTCAGCCATTAACGTGTGTATTCAATGCTTCCATCCTTACCAGTGTTGTGCCAGAGTTGTGGAAGATGGCTAATGTGGTTCCTACATTCAAATCAGGGGATAAGTCCACTCCTTCAAATTACCGTCCAATAAGCCTGACATCTATAGTGGGCAAGTTATTAGAATCAATTAATGTCAGCTATATCAGAAGTCACCTTGAAGAGCATAACTTGATAAATGAATCTCAGCATGGATTCACGAGAGGTCGTTCCTGCCTGACAAACTTGCTGACGTTCTTCAATAGAACATTTGAGGCAGTTGACAGTGATAAGGAATATGATATTGTTTATTTGGATTTTAGTAAAGCCTTCGACAGAGTACCTCACAAGAGACTCTTAAGAAAAGTGGCAGCTCATGGTATAGGAGGTAAAGTTCTAGCATGGATTGAGGCATGGCTTACCAATAGAAAACAGAGAGTTACCATTAATGGAGTGAAATCTGAATGGGGATCAGTCACTAGTGGCATTCCACAAGGATCAGTTTTAGGCCCTCTCCTGTTCATAATTTACATTAATGACCTTGATGAAGGGATTACTAGTGACATGAGTAAGTTTGCTGATGATACAAAAATAGGCTGTATAATTCACTCTGAGGAGGATATCAATGAACTCCAGGACGATTTGAACAAATTAATGTCTTGGTCTGAAAAATGGCAGATGAAGTTTAATGTGGATAAGTGTAAGGTACTTGCCCTTGGTAATGAAAATAACCCTCGAAGCTATAATCTAGGTGAAGTAGAGCTTGGTCATACAGAATGTGAAAAAGACTTGGGAGTCATGGTAAGCAGAAATCTAAAGCCAAGACAGCAGTGCCTTAGTGTGCGCAACAAGGCCAACAGATTACTTGGATTTATCTCAAGAAGTATAAGTAACAGAAGTCCAAAAGTTATTTTACAGCTCTATACATCACTAGTGAGGCCTCATTTAGATTATGCTGCTCAGTTTTGGTCCCCTTACTACAGGATGGACATAGACTCATTAGAGAACATACAGAGAAGAATGACTAAAATGATTTACTGTGTAAGGAACCTCCCGTATGAGATAGACTTAAAGCCTTAAATCTCCACTCTCTGGAGAGGCGTAGAATGAGGGGAGATATCATTGAAGTGTATAAGTGGATGACGGGCATAAACAAAGGAGACATTAATAAAGTACTGAGGGTGTCGAACCAGTAAGAACCAGGAATAATGGATTTAAGTTGGATAAATTTAGATTTAGAAAGGACATAGGTAAGTACTGGTTTTCTAACAGAGTTGTAGATGCATGGAACAGTCTTCCCAGTGGGGTGATAGAGGCTAGACCTTGGGTAGCTTAAGAAGAGACTGGACAAAAATATGAGTGGGAGGGGCTGGGTTTGATTGGTGTCATGGGGTACGGGAGTTATTTCTTGGGTAGCTTTAGGTAGATGTCGTTTTGATAAGGACCTGCCTCGTATGGGCCAGGAGGCCTTCTGCAGTGTTCCTACATTATGTTCTTATGTTCTGAAAAAGGGTGAGCGGTGCACTTAGGAGTCTGTGAAGACAAAGAACTTTGCCCTTGGAGGCAAAGAGGGGAATGTATGAGAGTACAGTTTTACCAACGCTCTTATATGGGTGTAAAGCATGGGTGAATGTTGCAGCGAGGAGAAGGCTGGAGGCAGTGGAGATGTCATGTCTGAGGGCAATGCGTGGTGTGAATATAATGCAGAGAATTCGTAGTTTGGAAGTTAGGAGGAGGTGCGGGACTGCCAAAACTGTTGTCCAGAGGGCTGAGGAAGGGTTGTTGAGGTGGTTCGGACATGTAGAGAGAATGGAGCGAAACAGAATGACTTCGGACATGTAGAGAGAATGGAGCGAAACAGTGACTTCAAGAGTGTATCAGTCTGTAGTGGAAGGAAGGCGGGGTAGGGGTCGGCCTAGGAGAGGTTGGAGGGAGGGGGTAAAGGAGGTTTTGTGTGCGAGGGGCTTGAACTTCCAGCGGGCATGCGTGAGCGTGTTTGATAGGAGTGAATGGAGACAAATGGTTTTCAATACTTGACTTGCTGTTGGAGTGTGAGCAAAGTAACATTTATGAAGGGATTCAGGGAAACCGGCAGGCCGGACTTGAGTCCTGGAGATGGGAAGTACAGTGTCTGCACTCTGAAGGAGGGGTGTTAATGTTGCAGTTTAAAAACTGTAGTGTAAAGCACCCTTCTGGCAAGACAGTGATGGAGTGAAGGATGGTGAAAGGTTTTCTTTTTCGGGCCACCCTGCCTTCGTGGGAATCAGCCAGTGTGGTAATAATAAAAAAAAATAAAAGAAAAAAATGAACAGCTTGCAAATCCCCTACATCAGGGGTCTCCAAATTGCAGCTCGCAGCAATGTCAAATATTTATAAACAATAAAACTAATAAATCCTCATTTTCAGTTACTTATTCATTTAAATTTTATTCACTCATTTATATTCTTTTTTTTTTTCTTTTTTTTTTTTCAACAAGTCGGCCGTCTCCCACCAGGCAGGGTGACCCATAAAGAAAGAAAATCCCCAAAAAAGAAAAATAACTTTCATCATCATTCACCACATTTGCACATTATCACTGTTTTTTGCAGAGGTGCTCAGAATACACAGTTTAGAAGCATACACATGATGGACCCAAGATGTTCCAATGGTTTCTCCATAGCACACGAGAAGCCAACCCACTGGTTCATAAGATACTGAGAAAGGGTGAAATCAATGTGATGGGCTGAGAGAAATGATGCAGTCAAATCTTTCATAATTTATCCTGTGCAGGAGACCTTCATTCAGGAGTAAGGATGAATGAACACAGGTTTTACAACAAAAAATCTAACTGGAAAAACAAATGAATAATGTATACAAGTATGTTTCAACTATTGTAAATAAACTCACCAATTTCTTCGTGCGAAGAACCCTGGAAGTGGTGGGTGTGGCACTAGCAAGTTGTCAGATTGGCTTACACCCAGAACAGCTTTCTGTCGATTCATTCTTACACCTTCAAAGAGGTTAATATACACTGTAGCATCTGGTATTTTAATTTTGAAATAAAACAGTTCATTATTTTGAATTTGAGTCCTATTTTAAGGCACAATTTGACCAAATTCTTAGCTATTTTGCCAGTATGCCTTCTGTTCTACTGAGTGAGCAATGAAACCCTCCATTCAACTATCAGAACCCTATAAAGTGCACAAAATTAGTAGAGTGGCCAATTTTAACCACAAATTTAAAAGAATCCGTTTAAAAGCAAAGTCCAAAATAAACACTCTAGGCATTCCAGCCACTAAATATATGTCTCGAAGGCTTCTCCTATATTACATTTGCCCTCCATTTTGAATTCATCACAAACAAAGGTTTATCCTATTTCTCCAATAATAAAATATAACCAAGAATGATTGGTCATGGTTGAGGGCATCCCAATAATTGAAGCAGACCTAGTAGGGCTCCCAATATTGAAGACCTGCAAGTTGGCCAAAAGGGAAGGACTTCCCCATTCTTAGGAAAATTGTCAAAAATCAAGCATTTCCACTACTTCAGCCCAATTTCAAGCTACTGTGCTTCTGGTCCTCAACCCAACCAAAATCATCTCTATTTCAGTAGTATTCTTTGACTGTCAATTAATCACAAGAACAGCCAATAAAATCATCCTAGAAAACACCTCGAAGTCGCTATTTTAAACCAAATACAAGGTCAAAGGCTTGATTTTCTCCCATCATGTAATGGGCAAGATTTTTTTTTGTACCATGCACACTCACCACAGACCCATTCTCTTATGTCTAGGACAAAATAATGTTCAAAGCATATTTGAGGGCAACTGGCATCAATACTACAGATCTACCGTAAAGTACAGTGAAATGATTGAATAGTTTATTACAAACAATAATATATACTTTAATAAGTGTAAAAACGGTGCTAGAAAATTAAAAAAATGGTAATGAAAACTCACAAAACCTTGTAGTGGAAAGAATAAGAAAAGAAAGAGAGATAGAAGAATTCCAGAAAACATCAAAATAAGAGGAACAAACTGCCATAATTAACAGTAATACAATTATGAAATTTCAAGAATGAATGGAACAGCTTTCATTAAATGATGGTAATGATGGTTATTCTCTACAAGTGCATACAACATCTGTGTGCACCTGTGAAGAATAAGAAGGCCCTGGATGCCAAAGAAAAGTGGACATGTAGTAATAGTAACAATAGTAACTTTAGGAAGGTAATAAACAGTACAGGTATTACAAGGGATATACCATTCTGTGAACACTGCACAAGATGTATTTTGGTTATATTTATGAGGATAAGTGTGTGAACAGTAACGGATATGGTGCAAGTTTTAGAATAGAGATCAAGAATGATAATTAACCATAGGATCTAAACTGTACAAGGTGAATTTATACTCTATTAAGTCCATTATATAAATAAAGTAAGAGACTACATTCAGTAGGCAATCAGTAAGATGCAAGAAGACAGTGGAGAAATACACAGAGGTAACACCTATATCAGCACAAGGTAACAGAACCAGTGTAGAAGTGTGTTACACAGGTCTTTCTGGTGGCTTCCACTATTTTTAGGAATACTTACTCAGATGGGAGGTCCTAGAAAAATAAGGTTCAGAATGCAGTGGCGAAACAAGTGCCAAACCAGATAAGAAAATCTTTGATTCAGTATGTCCTTGATTAACATAACTGTTAATGTTTGCTGCAAATATCACTCAGTAACAAAAACACTTACTTCTAGTTCCAGCTGCAGGAGTAAGAAAGGCATCCCCAGTACAACCCAGCACTTTCGGTTTGCGGCCTCGCTTCTTAGCAGCAGACTGAAGTACATTATCAGCAGAGCTGATCACATCAGCAATACTGTTCCTTACTGATGAACTATTTTCTCCATTATTCTACGGAAAAAAAGCTAACAGATTGAGCTTGTAAGATATTTAATAGCTAGGAAGGATGTTTTTATACGGTCAAGAATCATGTCTTTTAATACAGGCATGAAATTTCAAGCCATTCAAATTGAATGATTTGGATGTTGTAAGGGAAAAGATTTTTAAATACCATGTACAAATTTATACAGTACACATATCCAATTTCCACAGTCCATAATAAGGTATATTCATGAAAGAAAAAAAAAATACTAAGAATGTGGCCCAGCAAAACAAAAAAAAATGGGATCAAGAAGACAATTGCAGTTAATAACAGAAAAAGATAATAAGAAAATCAGTATGATAATGAAATGCACAAGGTTTTAACATAAAACAATAAAGAAACTTATGCCTTAATAGCAGAGTATTTTGAGGTTAACAAGCCAACTGTTTATTACTGTACTTTAAGGAGAAGTAGATTAGAAAACGTGTGGCAGCCCATGGTCAAAGCTGTGGTAAGGTGATCACAGGTATTCATAATAGTACTGTGCTTATGAAAACTCGCCTCATTCTTGAACAGAATGAGCACATGAAACAATAAAATAAGTCACTGACAGCTTCATCATACACAAGAGCCAGAATGATAGAAGAGCCTCTTATTGTTGTATGGTTATAGTAGCAGTAGCAGTAGATAACCACTTCCATGAAAGACTGAGGTTAGACAGTCAAATAAGCTTCCTTGTAACTGAGAATAATAATACTGTATATTATGTAAATGAAGTCTATTTTCAATTTTAAAGTTTTCACAAAATTTACAGAAAGACAACCCCTTAAGAGAGAGTTCCCCCAATTATTCAGGGTACTGCCTCTGGAAGACAGCATCACAACCTAGGTGGGTCATGCCATCAACCCAGAGGACTAAAGAAAGACTGGAATGTAAGGGCAGTGATCCCTAGGACAATTGCTTGATAGATACCAAGACGTAACATTAATACAACATACAAATAATGCTTACTAACCTCTTTAATGTAATCTTTCCACAACATGTTTTTCGTCTTTTCTGAATACCGTACAAGACCAGTCTTGTACAAACGGCAAATGGATTCTACAACAGATGAAGTCTCCATTTCCATAAGTTCAACACGTTTTTGAACTGCAATTTAAATGTTTTACAACCAGAATTTAGAGATCATTTTAATGAGTTATTACAATTAATAGCATTACAGTGTTTCAAGCATAAATGAACCATACAGTACAGTACACAGATAAACTTAAGGTCACAAGAAAGTGACTGGTCTCTTGTGAAAATTACCTTAAAATTTGCAGGAAAAGCAACAATAAGCCTTGAACCATAGGCTAAAGTGTATAACACACTGTGCCCCATGGTCTGGTGGTTAAAGCTCTCGCATCACATAGCAAGGGTCCAGGTTCGATTCCCGGAGAGGGTAGAAATATTGGGCGTGTTTCTTTACACCGACTGTCTATGTTTCCCATCAGTAAAATGGGAACCTGGGAGTTACTCGACAGGTGTGGGTTGCATCCTGGGACAAAACTGACCTAATTTGCCCGAAATACTCTACATAACAAGCGGCTTTCTGTATAATAGTATGTCATTGATGTCAGCTAGGCCTGTATACCTTGTATATGTACTTGTAGAAATAAAGATCTTTCTTTCTTTCAATACACCAGCTGTATCCCACCGAGGCAGGGTGGCCCAAAAAGAAAAATGAAAGTTTCTCCTTTTATATTTAGTAATATATACAGGAGAACGGGTTACTAGCCCCTTGCTCCTGGCATTTTAGCCGCCTCTTATGACACGCATGGCTTACGGAGGAAGAATTCTGTTCCACTTCCCCATGGAGATAAGAGGAAATAAACAAGAACAAGAACTAGAAAGAAAATAGCAGAAAACCCAGAGGGGTATGTATATATATGCTTATACACGTATGTGTAGTGTGACCTAAGTGTAAGTAGAAGTAGCAAGACGTACCTGAAATCTTGCATGTTTATGAGACAGAAAAAAGGACACCAGTAATCCTACCATCATGTAAAACAATTACAGGCTTTCATTTTACACTCACTTGGCAGGACAGTAGTACCTCCCTGGGTGGTTGCTGTCTACCAACCTACTACCTAGTAGAAATAAAGATTTTTTTTTTTTTTCAACAAGTCGGCCGTCTCCCAACGAGGCAGGGTGACCCAAAAAAGAAAGAAAATCCCCAAAAAGAAAATACTTTCATCATCATTCAACACTTTCACCACACTCACACATTATCACTGTTTTTGCAGAGGTGCTCAGAATACAACAGTTTAGAAGCATACACATATAAAGATACACAACATATCCCTCCAAACTGCCAATATCCCAAACCCCTCCTTTAAGGTGCAGGCATTGTACTTCCCATTTCCAGGACTCAAGTCCGACTATATGAAAAATAACCGGTTTCCCTGAATCCCTTCACTAAATATTACCCTGCCACACTCCAACAGATCGTCAGGTCCCAAGTACCATTCATCTCCATTCACTCCTATCTAACACGCTCACGCATGCTTGCTGGAAGTCCAAGCCCCTGCCCACAAAACCTCCTTTACCCAATCTCTCCAACCCTTTCGAGGACGACCCCTACCCCGCCTTCCTTCCCCTATAGATTTATATGATTTCCATGTCATTCTACTTTGATCCATTCTCTCTAAATGACCAAACCACCTCAACAACCCTCTTCTGCCCTCTGACTAATACTTTTATTAACTCAACACCTTTTCCTAATTTCCACACTCCGAATTTTCTGCATAATATTTTACACCACACATTGCCCTCAAACAGGACATCTCCACTGCCTCCAACCGTCTCCTCGCTGCTGCATTTACCACCAAAGCTTCACATCCATATAAGAGTGTTGGTACTACTATACTTTCATACATTCCCTTCTTTCCTCCATAGATAACGTTTTTTGACTCCACATATACCTCAACACACCACTCACCTTTTTTCCCTCATCAATTCTATGATTAACCTCATCCTTCATAAATCCATCCGCCGACACATCAACTCCTAAGTATCTGAAAACATTCACTTCTTCCATACTCCTCCTCCACAATTTGATATCCAATTTTCTTTATCTAAATCATTTGATACCCTCATCACCTTACTCTTTTCTATGTTCACTTTCAACTTTCTACCTTTACACACATTCCCAAACTCATCCACTAACCTTTGCAATTTTTCTTTAGAATCTCCCATACGCACAGTATCATCAGCAAAAAGTAACTGTGTCAATTCCCATTTTGAATTTGATTCCTCAAAATTTAATCCCACCCCTCTCCCAAACACCCTAGCATTTACTTCCTTTACAACCCCATCTATAAATATATTAAACAACCATTGTGACATTACACATCCCTGTCTAAGACCTACTTTTACCAGGAAGTAGTCTCCCTCTCTCTACACACCCTAACCTGAGCCTCACTATCCTCATAAAAACTCTTTACAGCATTTAATAACTTACCACCTATTCCATATACTTGCAACATCTGCCACATTGCTCCTCTATCCACTCTATCATATGCCTTTTCTAAATCCATAAATGCAATAAAAACTTCCCTACCTTTATCTAAATACTGTTCATATATATGCTTCAATGTAAACACTTGATCTACACATCCCCTACCCACTCTGAAACCTCCTTGCTCATCCGCAATCCTACATTCTGTCTTACCTCTAAGTCTTTCAATTATAACCCTACTGTACACTTTTCCTGGTATACTCAGTAAACTTATTCCTCTATAATTTTTACAGTCTCTTTTGTCCCCTTTCCCTTTATATAAAGGGACTATACATACTCTCTGCCAATCCCTAGGTACCTTCCCCTCATTCATACATTTATTAAACAAAAGTACCAACCACTCCAACACTATATCCCCCCCTGCTTTTAACATTTCTGTCATGATCCCATCAGTTCCAGCTGCTTTACCCCCTTTCATTCTACGTAATGCCTCACGTACCTCCCCCACACTTACATTCTGCTCTTCTTCACTCCTAAAAGATGGTATACCTCCCTGACCAGTGCATGAAATTACTGCCTCTTTTTCCTTCTGTGAACCATTAACTAATATTTTTAATTTATCTCTTCAAACAGGTGTAGTGTGGAAGATGGCTAACGTAATTCCTATTTTTAAAACAGGGGACAAGTCGTTACCGTCAAATTACCGCCCAATAAGCCTGACCTCAATTGTAGGCAAATTACTAGAGTCAATTATAGCTGAGATTATAAGAAGCCATCTCGATAAGCATAGCTTGATTAATGATACTCAGCATGGATTCACAAGAGGCCGGTCTTGTTTAACTAATTTATTAACTTTCTTCAGCAAAGCTTTTGAGGCTGTTGACCACGATAAAGAATTTGATATTATTTACTTAGATTTTAGTAAGGCTTTTGATAGAGTTCTGCACCAAAGACTGTTAAAGAAATTGGCAGCTCATGGCATTGGGGGAAGGGTGCTCTCGTGGATCGAATCATGGCTCACAGACAGGAAGCAGAGTGTGTCCATAAATGGGGTTAAATCCGAGTGGGAATCAGTAACAAGTGGCGTTCCACAGGGATTAGTCTTGGGCCCGTTGTTGTTTATAATATATATCAATGATCTTGATGAAGGAATTACTAGTGATATGAGCAAATTCGCCGATGACACAAAGATAGGTAGGATAATTGATTCAAACGTAGATGTTAGGGAACTTCAGAAAGATTTAGACAAACTCTATTCTTGGTCAGAAAAGTGGCAGATGCAGTTCAATGTAGATAAATGCAAGGTTCTGAAGCTCGGGAGTGTCCATAACCATAGAACTTATAAGTTAAATAATGTAGAACTTAGCCATACAGATTACGAAAAGGACTTGGGGGTTATGGTAAGCAGCAACCTTAAACCAAGACAGCAATGCCTAAGCGTACATAATAAGGCAAATAGATTACTGGGATTTATATCAAGAAGGGTAAGCAAGAGAAGTCCAGAGGTCATACTGCAGCTTTATACATCATTAGTAAGGCCTCACCTAGATTATGCAGCTCAGTTCTGGTCTCCATATTACAGAATGTACATAAATTCATTAGAAAACATTCAGCGTAGGATGACTAAATTAATACATAGCATTAGAAATCTTCCTTATGGAGAGAGATTGAGGACTCTTAAGTTACATTCACTTGTTAGACGAAGAATGAGGGGAGACCTGATCAAAGTGTATAAGTGGAAGATAGGCATTAATAAAGGGGATATTAATAAGGTCTTGAGGATATCTCTCCAAGAGAGAACCCGCAGTAATGGATTTAAATTAGACAAGTTTAGATTCAGAAAGGACATGGAAAGTATTGGTTTGGAAATAGGGTAGTTGATGAGTGGAACAGTCTACCTAGTTGGGTTATTGAGGCTAGGACTTTGGGAAGTTTTAAATTTAGGTTGGATAAGTACATGAGTGGGAGGGGTTGGATTTGAGTGGGACTTGCACATCAGGGCTTATTTCTTGGGTAGCACTGAAAATTGGGTTGGGCAAATGTTTTGTTAGTGGGATGAATTGTAAAGGACCTGCCTAGTATGGGCCAACAGGCCTGCTGCAGTGTTCCTCCTTTCTTATGTTCTTATTTAAAAGTTCCTCAAAATATTCTCGCCATCTACCTAATACCTCCATCTCCCCATCTACTAACTCCCCTACTCTGTTTTTAACTGACAAATCCATACTTTCCCTAGGCTTTCTTAACTTGTTTAACTCACTCTAAATTTTTTTCTTATTTTCATTAAAATTTCTTGACAGTGCCTCTCCCACTCTATCATCTGCTCTCCTTTTGCACTCTCTCACCACTCTCTTTGCCTTTCTTTTACTCTCCATATACTCTGCTCTTCTTATAACACTTCTGCTTTGTAAAAACCTCTCATAAGCTACCTTTTTCTCTTTTATCACACCCTTTACTTCATCATTCCACCAATCACTCCTCTTTCCTCCTGCCCCCACCTGGAGTTTACCTGGAGAGAGTTTCGGGGGTCAATGCCCCCGCGGCCCGGTCTGTGACCAGGCCTCCTGGTGGATCAGCGCCTGATCAACCAGGCTGTTGCTGCTGGCTGCACGCAAACCAACGTACGAGCCACAGCCCGGCTGATCAGGAACTG